GGCATCCCAAATGCAGGGTGTGTGCTCCAAGCCAGCCCCCAGGGACCTCGGGGCAGGCTGCCTTTCCCAAAGAGGAGGCAGCTGTATTTCCCCTAAACAACTTGCCACTATGTTTGTATAACAGCACGAATGGGGCAGGGCGGGGGATCAGGCGCATCCCTGAGCGAGGTCTCTAGTGAGGAAGGCTGCTAAGGCATCCAGAGTGGGGTCACAGAGTGGCACCCTCTAAGTGCCTGTAAGGAGCAGTTCTTGGCCCGCTGAGACAAGGGTATTGGTACCAGGAGCAACTGTGTGGCTTCCATTATCTAAATGGAATAGCGCTCCTGCTGAGTGCCACTTAGCAGAGTCCCAGTCAGAAAGTGGTTTAGGAGGAGTTGGGTCCAGGTCTCTGAAGCCCCAGTCACACCAGGTTGCCTCCCTCCTGACAGGAGAAACAGAGTAACTTTGCTGTGTGATTTTGGGGGCTCCTCAGCCCCAAGGATGGCTCCTGGAAGGCAGTGGCAAAGGTCCTCTTCCTGGGAGGGTTTGAGGATGAGCTGGAGGGATGAATAATGCAGACAGTCCCTCCTCAGGGCTAATGGATTCTAGAAACCTCAGCATTGGGGAGGAGGGGGGATGGGTACAGGGTTCTCTGTCCCTTCTGTGAGCCTTTTAAGAGAGAGGGGGAGGGCTGGACTGGGCAGTGGTTCAGAGCCTTCTCTGTTTGGTTTCTGATATTTTCCTTCTTTCTTTCTAGTAACTGGTGTCCCTACCAGAAGTCCAGGCTGGTCACCTTTGTAGCTGCTTGTAGAACAGAGAAATTCCTCATCCACTCACAGCAGCCGTGTCCGCAGGGTGCTCCTGACTGCCAGAGAGTCAAAGTCATGTGAGTGAGGGAGGGTGGACCATTCTCTGGTCACCTCAGCTTACGCCCCCCCCAACCCCTGCTCGAGTTGTTAAGCCTAACCTCCTCCCCCAGGTACCGTCTGGCCTACAAGCCAGTGTACCAGGTCAAGCAGAAGGTGCTGGGCTCTGTGGTCTGGAGATGCTGCCCGGGTTACATGGGCCCTGACTGCCTGGACTACGGTAGGGCTTGTGTGCCCCATCCCCCCAGCCCTGACACAGACACCTATTGTCCCTACTCCCTCCCTCCTCAACCTCTGACCTCCAGCTGCAGAGGTGTGGCAATGTCCCATACCTCCACCTGGCCCTTCCCCTTCTCTCGGCAGATCCCACAGCACTTCCCGCCTCTGCAGACCCAAAGAACGGTCTCCAGGAAGCTTTGGAAGGACCAGTCAGCTCTGAACCTGGTGTGTTGTTGTCCTGGGAAGATGGGCAGCCCCCTGGGAGTTCCTGGCCAGGCAGTGCAGGAGGGGATGGCCAGGCAGGGCCCCTGGGCCTTTCTCCTCTGCCGGGACAGAATCACAGAGGCTCCTCCTGACCCTCTCTCCCCGTCTGGCTCCAGTTGGCCAACAGCACATGTGCCTATCCCTTGACCCCACCCCCTAGGAAGTTTCACCTGGCACCTTCCTGCCCCCTAAACCATACCAGTCTAAAGGCCTTCCTTCCCAAGCCAGGGCCAGGAAACCACGCTGTCTCTGGCCTTGATGGCAGCACAGATGAACCCACCATAAGACACAGCTCCCAAGGCCCGGACTGAGGTTGAGGTGGTGAACAAGCTCACCACGTGGTCAGCTCCTATTGCTGACTAGGCTGCCTACAACCATGTGGTCTGAGCCCAGGGCCACATGGCCGAGGAGGATGGAGTGCCAAGATGGAATAGTCATGTCTGCTTCGGGTGTGAAAGGAGCCATGCATTTGTCCTTCCTGGCCTCCTAAGCACCTGCTCATAAGGTGTCAGCATGCCTCCCTGCTCCAGCTCCCAGATCTTCACTGTCCCTTGTGAAGTGATCCATCCTGGCCTGGTTAGTTTCCCCTTGCTTGGCACTGACCTCTGACTGCTCTTAGTTCACCAGCCTACAGGGATCAGCCAGGCGGCAGTGCAGCAGGAGCACCCGATGGCAGAACTCCAGAACGACCTTCACCACGTGGCCGACAGTCTTTTAGAACAACAGGGGGGCCCGTCAAGCAGTCTCACAGTGGCCACAGCAGAGGAGGCTAACCAAACTGAGCTTGGTGAGTGTCTAATCACATCAGAG